ATAAATAAATAAATAATAAATAAATAAATATTTGTAATAAATCCTAATACATAAAAGCTAAACCCTGTGGATCCCTCAGGAGGCAGCACCTTGTAGACGTTGATTGGCAGGTCTATGAGGATGTAGATCAGGTCTCCCAGGGCCAGGCTGGCGATCAGGGCGTTGGGTCCGTTCCTCATGCTTTTATTTTGACAGATGATCCTCAGCAGGGTGGCGTTCCCGATGATSCCCACRGTGAAGATCAGGCAGGACAGAACCGTGTTGATGTACTTGAAGGCGGTTTGGATGGACATGATGTTCAGGCACGGCGGGGGAGCYATCATGATCCTCTGAGAGGAGTTGCTGGAGGAAGAGGAGGTTTTCCGCTCGTGTTTGTGTTTCAGTTTGCTCACGGTCCTCGTCTTCTCCGGTTCTGACTCCAAAGAGACCCGGGACTCGTGGACGGTCTCCTGGGAGAGGCGGGGGTCWGGGCGGGCCGCCTCGGGCGGAGGAGGCGGGTCAGCGCTGGGGTCTGACACCTTCAGGGCCGACGGATGAGGCCGGGATGTGGCGTTACTATGGCAACCGACAGGAGAGACAAACAGGAAGCAGCAGAGAAACAGCAGGAGGAACATCATCCAGGACTTGTTTGAACCTGGATCCACTGCTGGGACCATCCTGGACCTTGTTGGGACGCCCTGATCAGGTCGATGCTTCAAAACCAGCAGGAGACCCAGAACTGGTCCGGGTTAAACCAACGAGCGAGGAGTCTGGAGTCAGAAGAAGTTCAGGACCATCTGGAGACAGAAAGACCTGTTYGGATCAGATGACGTCACTCAGATGTTCCTTTAAACCACCGAGACACTTTYAGTTTTAATTTGAAACAAACAGGAAGTGGATTAAAAACAGATCAATGATCCAGATCTTSAGWCCCAAATCACACAGACCTTCAGATTAGGATTATCTGTGAACGACTCTCAGCTACTACCACACTGTTCAGSTTCACCGAGTTCATTTTCTGCGTGAGCTAAAGTCAGCTAGCCTCGGCAGCCATCTTGAATTATTATTATTAAATGTAACGATTTAAACTGATCCGGACTCAAACCTGCAGCCTCAGGATGATGAGACCATGACCCTAACCACTGAGCCTCAGTGCGGTRTTATTCAGAAACTTGATTAGTTTATAAAAAATAAACTCCTGAATAATTTAAACTAATTTTAGATTCCAGTTAAAATCAATAAAAAGTAAAAATCTGACCTGTTTGTGTTTTTCTCTTCTTCCTTTAGATTTGTCGGAGCAGCATCGTGTCCTCCGCTCAGTCCAGATACAACTGATCAAGTCCTGCAGAGTCCTGTTTGTAGTCCTCCTCCTC